TAAACTATTTAAAAGAGAGAGAAAAACAACTGTGACCAGTTTTTGTATCAGGGTGGCTTAGATCATTTGTTAGAGCTGTGCTCACACAAGAACTGCTTTGTAGGGCTGCACAAAGAGCCCACAATACAGCACTCAGCTCCAGTGAAACCCAAACCAGGAAGTATAAAAAAGACAATTATTGCCAGTCAGAAATGGGAATGGGTCAACAAGAAGGGTTTATGGTAACTGTGACTGGCACTTCTCAGCATAAGTGAGACAAAGCAAGACAAGGTCTCAGAGCAGGAGAACACAACAAAATTGGGCACTGCAGTATCTGCTCTCTGCAACCAGAGAAAGGGACAAAAGTCTCTTCTCTGAAGCTCTGGGGAGGCTGAGGCAGCACCCAAGTGTTGGGTCCACTTATGCAAAAAGGAACAGTTTTAGATGAGGCATTTGGGTGTTTGCACTCTCGCTTGGAGGAGCAGAATGTGGCCTCTTGCTCTGCACTAAGGATTTTGGAGGACTCTTCTCCAACGTGCTGGAACAACAAGGAGGCTGTTTTAATGATCCCACTGCTTTCCCAGACATTGTTTGAATCACTCATTCTTTTTTGCTAAAGAGGTCCTGGAGCCCTGACTCTCATCTCCATCACAGTCACTGGTCTCACAGGTGGGACAAGCAGAGCTACAGCTTGGAGCATTTTGCTGATGTTTGGTCCCAGCCACCTCAACAACACCCATCCCAGTCTCGTGCCATTCCTTGCATTTTAAGCCAAATGCTCCAATCCTGCTGCTTCTTTCTCCTCACCTTTTCTGATAACCCTTCCTTCTTCCTTCTCTACATCACCATTCTTCAGTTACACAAGAACAAAAGATTAAAGCCCAGCCTTTGCAGGCGGGTGAGGAGCTGCACTAAACTACAGTGGTAACCTGTGCCAGGGTTTTGTTTCAGCCATCAAATGCTCTACAGAGCCACCATGCAAACGGGAATAAATTCAGTTTGCAGAGCACCTTCCCTCCAAAGTCAAAGGCTGCCTGGCACATGAGCACGTTTAGGTAAAGGATGGGATCAGTTCTGAAGTGAAACATTACCTACCCTTCAGCTCTGTCCCTGTCCAGTCCTTCCCCAGGATCCAGAGGCAGTGGAACAGCCACCTCCGTGCTCAGCTCTGCGGCTCTCGAGCCCGAAGAGGCTCCTCTTCCAGCCCTCCTGTCCCTGCAGAGCAAGATAACACTTGTCCATCATGTGACACAACTGACACAGCCCCTCTCTTGGAGGTTAATAACTTTCCTAAAGGCAGCAGGAAATAAAAAAAAGTAACTGCTTGATTTTTTTTCCCCCAGTCCTTTAACACCTCTGGGAAGCATTCAATTAAAATAAATTAGGGCACATCTCGGTCCAAATCCCCACAGATTTAGCTATAATGGGTTATTTTGATAGGAGTGCATTTATTCCCATACTCAAAATGTTTTTCTAACTAAAATAGTTTAATCCCTCAAAGGAAAAGTAATTCAGTTAAAGACCACAGGTTTCCATTTTGTGGGTTATGCCTCTGTACACCAGACCTATTTTCCAATTCCTACCCAAATACCAGTTCAAAAGAATCCTCTTACGATTTAGAATTAAAATTTCCATTTTTTCTTCCCCAAAAAAAGACTTTGGGACACATTTTAGGAAGGACTCATTTAATATTGTTGTAATCTCAGTTTCAGGGATGCTACGGAATTTCTTTTGAGGTTACTGAAAGTTCTGTCCCTGCCACTAAGGCCACATATATTAAACTGTCCTGAAAGACGGTAGGAAATTAAAAATACACATTGTTTGGGTTTTTGTGGGGATCTCACTGTGCCCCAGCACCCCTTTCACCAAACCGATGGCTTGGAAAGACTGGGATGGGCAGAGAGAAAGGCTTTGGAGAGAGAGGCCACAAAGCACTGGAAGACAGGCTGTAACTTAATATTCAGGTGACCAAACACAGTATAATTCACATCCTTAATTCCAGAGGGCTGTTCAGGCATCCATGCCCAGACACTGCCCAGGTGTTTGTCTTGGCCCTCAGATGCATCCTGAGTTCTGGAGGTGAAGTCAAGCTCTCTCCTGTCATCCTCCCTGTGCTTCCAGGGACACAGGGGGAATAAAGGTTCCAGGAATTGTCAACACACACCCTGCACAAAACAGTTTGACTAGGAAAGAACCAAGAGTTAAAACATAAACCCAGCCCTAAGAATCACCACCTGACTCTTCCAGCCAGTGCAGATTTGGCAGGAACTTTGCCTTCATCCTCTTTTGAAAGTGCTGGGAGACAGTTCCCTCCCAAGTGGCTGCCTGAACCTGCCCAGCCATTATGTCCAGAGTGCTGCTCCTGGAAGGGGGAGCACAGCACGGATGAAAGGGGATGAACAGAAGCACTTGACAAAGCCCACAGAACACAGTGCCTGAAATGAGCTCCTGAGACAACAAATCCTGCTTTTCACGGACATCAACAGCCTCTAAGTGGAACCAGTTGAGATTTCACACACTCCACTTGCCCTGGTGAGGACACACTGCCCAGACAAGGCTCACAGAGGCTGATTCTGAGCCCTGTGAGAGAGGGGAACATTCTTTTAATCAGTTTAAATACAATGAACAACTGCCTGCCTCACTAATAACATCCTGCTGTCTCCTGGGGTCCTCTGGTGAGGGCAGCACCAAACCCAGCAAGGTGTGGGGGTTCCAGTGCTGTATTTCACCCTGGAACAGGGACATGAAAAGCTCAGTGTTGGAACAGCTTCAAGGCTGTGCCCTTTGTCCTCAGGGGATGGCAAAGTCCACCCAGCTCACACTTCTCCACAGGGAACAGCAGTTAAAGTTCCAACCTCCAGGTTCCCATCACTATACATCAGGAGCTGCAGGTTTTTTGCTTTAAACCCACAGTTTTTTTAAAGAAATACAAGATTTCCAAACACTCACTGATTAAACAGATCATTCTGAGCAGAGGGGTAGTCAGAAACATTCATGACATTCAGAAGATATTCAAAGATCACAGGAAAAAAGGCTTGAAGGTGGAAACAATGCAAACATTCAAGTAAGAGACTTGTTCCCAGTGTACTCACCTTCCTCATTGCTACCACCCACTTGAAAAGCACTGAGTCTCCTCCTCCCATTCCCCACAGCAATTACAAACACCCCTGATTTCAGCTGCTCAGTAGGACACGGAGCAAAGCTCAAATTACTCAGCAGAGCTCACCTCCTATTGCACAACTGGAGACGTGGGTTTCCAAACCCTCAGTGGAAAACACGGGATGAAGCCATTACAACTGTCACTTACCCAGGAAGGAATAAGGAAAGGGCTCTTCCATAGTGCAGAAAGAATGGATTGAAAGCAAGAGGACTGGCATAAGGAAGCCTGTTTCAATGAGCTAATGAAAGCATTAAGAGCTGATACAGGTTATCATGAGGTAGGATGCTACAAAGCATAAGAGCCCCCAGTGAGGGGAGGAACCGAGCAAAATTAACCTTCAAAGAGCAGAATTCCTAATAGCAACACCCCCAAATCGACCTGTCTGTTGGGTGAAACAATCTTAGAATTCCTGGCAGCAGAACAGCACCCAAATCCACTGCCCAAACACAACACAGGTGCTCCAAGGCATGAAAGAGTAACATCACACTTTCTCCACCTCAACCCACATTCTCACCATTAACTAAACCAGGATACCCACTTGTTGGTAAGCACAGACCAGAGGAAACAAGGACAGCAGAGAGCCCAGAAGAAATGTGGTATGGATAACCAGGGGATAACCTGGATTCACAGCACTTTGTAGACAAACAGCTGCTATCAAACACTTATCACCCCTTCCCTCGGGTCACCTGCGTGACTTGCCAAATATCCAGGAGGCACAACTGGAAAAAAACTGGGAATCTTGTTGCTTTATTATCTCCTGTAAACACCAGAGGACATTGGGCAGAGAACAGAAAACCAGACAAACGCAGCAAAGGGGCTTAACCTCAGTCAGGAGAAAAGAAACATGAAGAATCTCCACGGATTTGGGCCTCACCGCCCCAAAAACCACGAGCACAGCAGTTAGTTACAACACAGTAATTCCTGCTGGGGAGGCAGGGGG